GATGATTAGTACCATTATCTTCCATTTTTCTTGCAGTATCAAAAGCATGTATACAGCTATAAATCCCACAATAGACAAAATCTCCAAGATTTGGAACATTGTATACTCCTCTACTTCCTGAGCTTCTGTCAAGTTCTTCGTTGTTACAGCTAAATAGAATATAATTAATAGCATCAGAAGGATGACAATGATCAGATTCCAGACAATTGGTAAGAATTTTTGGTAAGCTTTGTTGTGTATTTCTATAGAATTCCAATAATGCATTTTGAGTAACAGAAAATCCTTTATGTCTGATTGTATGAAGTATTACTAGTGATCCAGGAGGGAATCTGTTAAAGTTTATAATGGTAATATTCTTTACAGGATCGTAAGAGTAGGCTGAGATTTCTTCAAGTTTCTTGTATTTATGAAGCTCTGAATCTAATCCATGTATTCTATTTGTATCATTTTTATATACTGAAGTGTAGTTTGGAACAAACAAAGAACCGGCAAAGACTATATCTTTAATACAACCATCCAATACAATGGTTTCTGGGAGTTGATCAATCTTGTTTCTAGTAAAAGAAGAATGAGTAATGAAGTAGATATTTTCTTGGATCTTGGGATTATATCTCTGAACCATCAAAATATCTGAAGTGAGATAGTGTACATGAGATTCATTGAACCCAAACAAAGCCATTTGTTGGTGTAACTTATTAAGAATCTTTCTGGCACTCATAATGCCAGGAAGCTGATCACCATGCTTCCATTTTGATACCATAGCAATAGATCTTTGCCTCTTTAATAGTGTAATAATATTATTGGTATTTCCTTTATCATCTGAAGTATAGGGTAGATTTGGATCATGCATCCAATTCCCATCTACAATGTACTTATATTCATATTGTAGACGATGGTTAATTGGATAAATAATTTTGGATGAGTTATGACTCTTACTTTCTTGATCATGAATTTGAGTTTGTTCTGGCTTCATTCCAAACCTAATAAAGAGTTTTGCGATAAAGTTACCGTTTGGATGTTTCTCAAGTTGAATACCTTCTTTCCAGTCATCCCAATCTCCACGTATTTCAACAGTATTGGCAGGATGTCTCCATTCAACAGTAATTTCTGTGGAGATATTGGAATTATTACTTTTGATTTTTCCAAAGTTCCAGTTAATTGTAGAAGGCTCTGTGAGATAATTACTAGCAAGTTTCTGAAATGGACCAAAACTATTAGATCTTGATCTTAAGCTTAATTCTATTGATTCTTTGCCTTTAGGTTGACTTTTTTCATCTCCATTAACATTGACAATATAGTTTTGATAAAGTCGTCTTTCAGATACTACACTAATATTATGAGGTACAATCTCATCAAAACCTCTGGTAGAGCCAAGAGCACAATTAGTTGAAGCAACCAAAGCTGCTGTTGGTAAAGTGTCAATAGGAGTACGGATTTCGCAAGGAGTTTCATTATCATGAGTACAATCAAAGAAGATTGCTGGACATGAGAGTCTCTTGAGAGGTTTAGCTCCTTGCAGTATAGGAAGTGATATAAGAGTTTCTTGGTTACTCTTTTTATTTAGATTCTCGGAATTAACTGCTTGGAATAAACTTGGAACCGTGGATAAGCCTCCAATTGGAGCTGTACTATAGTTGCTTACGTAATTCCCTAAAGATCCTGGTGTTTCAGCTCTCATAGCTTCTCTAATTAAAGCATTAAGTCCAAGAGTTCTTTCAAATTCTAAATCTACTTCGTAGTCACCAGTGAAAAGTTCAGCATATACCCATATATTTGGTCTGGTCTCCCTACATACTCTGAGCATATGTTTAGCAACATGGAGAGGAGTAGAGTGGCAGTTATCAAGTCTAATTGCATGGAATATATTTGCAATACTCTTACAATAATCAGACATCCATTTCCATAGAAATGTAGATTCTGATTCACAGTTTCCATATTTGAGCTTAACACAATCAGACCAAACAATCAAATCTCTTTTAAGATAAACAAAAGATCCAGGAGCAGCAAAGTCTTCTTTAGCATTCCATCCCATTACCCAGCCGTTATTTGCGAGATAGTGAGTCCTTCCTTGAGAATCTTCAATTGGGGTAAAGTACCTTGGGGTTAATGATTCCCAGTGATTCAGTCCTATTGGCCCTTTGCTACATTCAACTCTTTCCCAAACTACCAGACCTCTAATTGAGTTACAAATATTATTTGAAATTTGTTCAGAAAACTCAAAGAGTCTATTCTGAACATTTTCCAATATATTTTCTGAAATATTTGAAAGATTCATCTTTTTAAGAATATATGATGGAATTGTGATTTTCTTGGATCTACTTGAACATGAAAAGAAGAGGGATAGATTATAGATTTTATTCTCAAAGGTATCATTTTCATTGATTCTCTTAATCATATCATTGTACTCTCTTTCTTGTTTAGGATCTAATATAGATTGAGAAGAATTACCCATTTTAGAATTTTGAATGATTTCATTAATATTTAGAGTGAAGAAATCTTTAATATTGAAAGGGTTAATAACCTCATTCTTTAAAGCTGAAATGACTGAATCAACATTTTGAATATTATTAATATTTTTGTTAATCCCATATGAATTTAAATATTTTCCGTGATATATATTTCTTGAGAATTCTTGCAATTTTTGATCAAGTTCAACAGCTGCTGTAAGATGAGGAGAGTTATCCAAATTATAACCGGATTCAGGATGCTCTTTTAACCAAGGAGAATTATCTGCAGTATGATTTAGAACTACATCACAAGCAGATAAGATCCCATAGTCTATTTCCAACTCATTAATAACTTGTTTAAGGAAATTATATTTTTCTTCAGGTGTATAAGTTTTTTTAGTCTCAGTATCATTTTGAATAGACTTTGTATCTTTATTAGTCAAATTTTGGCTTTGGTCTTTATCAAATTCATTATTAAAGAATAAAGAGGATATTTCATTTTGATTTGCTAGGGAATAACAGGATCCAGATTGGCCAAAAATCTGTAAAGGAGTAAAGTGAACCATATTATAATTAAGCTTTGAAGTAATTTCAAGGCGTCTCTTCCAGTTTTGAATATTACCTAAACATTGACTAAGAATTGTTTGCATACAAATTCCTGAGCTTGGGATAAAGTTATTGTTGATATATAGTTTTGGTTCTACAATGATTGTATTAGTTATTAAATTATCATTAAGCTTTTGGATGATTTCTTTTGATTCTTGAAAGCAATTTACAACAGAAATAGAAATTTGAACAGAGCCTGGTTCAGTTATTTTTAGGTCCCAATAGAAATTTCCTAAAGAATCTGTATCTTTTGGAGGAATAATCTTTCTATTTCCAAAGAAATCTTCTATGGTAATAACAAAGCTCTCACCTTGAATTGTACCATTATATAATCTTAAAGCTAAAGTATCCCCAGCTAAAATACGGATATTTCCATGACTTCCTACACAGGAAATTCGTCCCTTTTTGTCAAATTCTGTGTACCATTTTGAGTTTATAGGGTCAAAAGTTTCAAGATTTTGTTTTTGGTATTTACTCAAAGTATCAGAATGTAAAAGCACACAATCTTTTTCATTATCATTATTTGACTCCTTTATTTGTATAGAAATATCTGCTTGTTGATCTTCTACCTGTTCATTTTTAATCGTAAATTTCATATTTTCTGTATTCTTTTGAAAATTTGATTCCATGACTTCTATTTTTTCTATTTTTGTCTCTTTAGTCAAGTTTTCCTCCTTTTCCTGCTTTGATTTGTTTTGGTTTCTAAAATTTAACGAGAATAAAGCTGACATTTCTTTCACTCTTGTATTCACATATATACCGTTTAAATATTAATATTAATTTTAATTTTAATAGTGAGTTGTTATTATATTCCCTCCTAACCCTTTGATCCTTTTTTTTTCTCCTCTAAATGAGTTTGTATAGCAATAATCAAAGCTTTTGGAAGTTTTGATTGTGATTACTAAAGTTTGAGTGAAATTTACTTGCGATTTAGAGTTCAAGGAAATTTATAAGTTTGCGCACTTTTCTCGTAAATCTATATATTTCCAAATGTGGTTAATTCCATCAAAATCATTCAACTTTCACTCTCAGTATATTTTCGAGTCTTGAAATGTTAATATCTAAGAATTATATTATTTATATATATATTATAAATATATATATAAATACATATGAATGTAAATATAAATATATATATATTTATATTATTATATTCACTCTTGCAGGGGGGAAATTACGAGGGAGTGTAAAATAATTTTTGTATTATACTGCAAATATGCATGTTTAGGCGCCACCCGCCAAAGTTAATTTTTGATTAAAATGGGGGGAAGCAAAAAAGGGACAAAGAAAAGAGAAAAGAAGGGAGAGAAAAGGGGAGGAGAGATAGTGAAAGAAGTGGGGATGAGGGGAAAAAAGGGGAAAAGAGGAGAGAGGAGGGGAGAGGAGGGGAGAGGAGGGGAGAGGAGGGGGAAAGAAGGATAGTGAGAGGAAGGGAGAAGAGATAGGATTAAATGTTCATGCGGTAGATGAATAGATAGATACTTTTTAACAAATTGTACGTGGAAGAGCGTAATAGCCAATGTTTATAAGAGTACTTCATGTTTACAAAATTATGTGAATCATAGAGAGTAAATTCGGTCACTGTTAATTAGGAGATTATTTAATATATTGGGAAAGATGAGTTCTGTTAATGATAAGCCTTGCTAGATGTGTATAATTGAAATATAATCGGGATTTGAAGTGAATAAAAATTTCTCGGAATTGAAAGTTCTTCATAATTACTTATTCAAGCTGCATTCCAAATATCCTTTGTGAGAAAAGAAATTGCCCTAAATTCCCTCTATTCTTAGGTTTTATATTTTTTGATTTTTTCTGATTTTTATTAAAAAATGAAGAAAAATTACCTCACTGATATAACACACCTTTAACCGGTAGAATTGATCAGTATTAATTTTTTTCTTCTCTTCTGAAATATTATAACTACGATCTATGATCTTTCCAAACGTAGCGGGTTTGGTCTAGTGGCTATGACGCTCGCCTAACACGCGAGAGATCACGAGTTCGATCCTCGTAACCCGTATAAGAGAAATCGAGGCCGGATTGGGCGGTCTTTTTTAATAGTAATTAACTTGTCTTTAGGCGCGGGGCATTTTATTATTATTTTTAATAATTATATTAAATATATATTTATATAATTATTGTTTACACGTAATGCAGTTTCCTTGGCTGACATTTAATAAATTATTTGTCATTTTTTTAAATGTTTTTTTGAAGATGTAGAAAAGAGCAGATTTGGCGATATTATTTGAATATTGGATATTTATTATTTGTTGTTTGATTAGAGAAAGATGAGGAACAATAGAAATACTAGTTTGAGAATGTTGAGCATCTAGAGAAGTAATATATATATTTGCAGTTGAATAAAGGTAATGAAGAATTTTTTAGAATTTATAAGAGAAACAAATAGTCGACTTTTTTTTTTGAAATATATATATAATTATATTGGAGATATATGAGTTTATTTTCAGAAACAGGATTTGACAGAGAAGTCAGTTGATTAATAATCCTGAGACGAGCTAATGCCATTAAAATAATGTGTAATGAGCAATAGGCTTAATGAATGAATTATCAATAGTGGTGGTTGATTTAGAAGAAAATCATTAGTAGATGTAATGGAGGAATAAATAAAGGTAATAAAATGTAGGATTTGGAATGACAATAGATTTTTTGTGATGATGTTGCTTGAATTTCAAGCATTGGGCTCTTACCAATAAGATGATGATATTTCTTTATTACTGAACAATGATCTTTTCATTTTTATGTCCCACCATCTATTACCTTTATTTAATCAAACATAGTTTTTTATAAAGATTATAGTTTTTAATGCTTAATGGTAATGATATATATATACATTTTAAGGGGATTGTAATGCAAATTAAGCCACAAAGTCTACTTAATTAAAACTGGAGCCATTATTACGTATCTTTTTTTCTCCAGTAATATTTGATAACATAAAGTTTCAAATGATCTATTTTACTATATAATTTAAAAATAAAAGTATTATTAGATGTTATTTTTATAGTTATAAACTGAATTGAGGATTTATTATGATGAAAACAAGACCTAATAAGCCAGTTCTGCTTATGATACCCTTTTCCTTGGTTGTGATTAGAAATGGTCTTTCTTTTCTGAATTTATCTTTTAATTCAATAGAACGTTTTTGGCTATTTGCTTAACTAAAGATTATAAGGTAGATAAATAATTTCTTTTTTTTTTTTTCCCTTCCTTTTCCTTATTTCTACTCTAATTGCAAGTATTGCAATAGAATAAAGAACATGAAAATTGTGACTATTATATACCAAATTACATATGTGTGGGGAAGTGATAATTAATAATAAATAAAAATTTATAATACAAAAACTTGCCTCGTCTAAAGATAATATGTATTCTAGTGATAAAGATATAAATAAATTTTGATTGGAAAATCAGTAAGCAAAATAACCAGTTTTCACAAACTATTATTCATTAGTATTGAACATTGAAAGAAGGTTTGATAACATGTTAAATGAAGCATTTTTTTGCCTATTAAAATATATTTGGTCAATTTTGTCAATAATTCTTGAAAAACTGGAATCCCGCCTAATTAAAAGGGCATACTTATTTTTTATTATGTCAAAAAAATGCATGGCGGTTTTTTTATCTGAAAGCTCGCAAGCTGAAATGATGAAGAATGCCATTTGTATTGGAGCAGACGGTATGTTAGAGTCAATATTAGAATTACAGGATGAGGAGAGAGATAAAGAAGTATCATTGCTTTCATTTAATAATTGACAGTATTTATCAAGTAGATCATGGGCAAATTGTGTTTTATTTAAGGAAAGTAATACAAGCACAGCTCTAAGTAGAAATATATCTTTTTCTGATTTATAACCTTTCTTGCTCCATTCAATAAGAATGTTGGCAAAAAGTTCAGGATTTTCAGTTAAAATCACATAAAGTTGAGCTTTGGAAAAATTTTGATGAACAAAATAATAATTGGAAGCCCATACATGTAATTTATATATATAATCAGTATTTTCATTTTCATGATCTTTACACCATAGAAGAGTATCATTAAGCAATTTCCCCTTCTCATTACAAAATCTACCTGAGCTTAATATATACATTACAGAGTTAAATTGGCTATTTGTAATCTTTAGTTTTTCTTCTCTAGCTTTCTTGATCATACTGCTACATACATGGCAAGCTATTTCATTAAACCCATACTCATCAAAATATTTTGCTTTTTCTAACCCAAACTCCACAGAATCTTTTGGGTTAAATCGAGATAATCTGCTAATCAGTAGTTGATAAGCATCATAGGAATCCCCTTTTTCTAGACGTGATTTGACCACATTCCAAATTTTATCCATTGCTTATTAATAATTCCAATTCTTTCAAGTAATTTCCCTAGATTTAGTGCTAGTTTTACTTCTAAGGGAATTGGTAGCTATTGTAAACAATCCCAATAATTTTTATTTCGATTTGACTTACTTATCTTCTTCAAATTAATACAAAAGTAATTTCTCGTAAAGTTAATTTTCAATTGTGAAGTGGCGCCAAATGTTGTTTTATAAATATATAAATAAAATATAATTTGTAATTTAATAATAAAAAAGAAAAATCCAAATGAGTAAACAATTTAAAAAGAGCATAATATTATTTGTAGATATTTTCTAATTTTTTACTCCTCCAATTTTGTACTCGTATTAATTTAGGAATCAAATTATCAAATACCTATAACAAATTTATGATAAATTAAGTATTAAATGATTTAATTCAAATGGTTAACTAATATATTATGATCACATTTATATATATATTTTAAGAAAAAAAAACACTCTAATTAAAGTTTGTTGTATTTTAGTTGATTTCATTAACTAATTTGAATTCATGTATTACTTTTTACTTACACTATGATTTTTATATTTAGTATTAATCTCAATTCTTTATAACACATGGAGAAAGTTTCAAATAAACGAAAAGTAAATAATTAGTATATAAATAAGGCTATTAAAATTGATTATAGATGTATTTAATAATAATAATAATGGTTTCAATACGAAAATGGTCGTCCTTACTTAAGTGCGAGAAATCATTCGATTCCAAATACCTTTTAATTCTTTGCATGCAAAATGAAACATGCGGATTATATGAGTCAATAGTATGAACAGAAATGAGAGCAAGAATAACCCATTGAATTTTATTAGTATCCAATAAGAAGGAGTCCAGTGTACTTTCATCAAATTGATTAGCAAAATATTCTAATAAGTTGGACCAATTGTATGAATTCCATTTACCTATAGTAATACATGGAATTTGGGCCGACTGAATGATTTCTTCCCAGTTTGAAACAGAAATAATCTCTTCAGTTTGTAAAGCTTCCGTCAATGTTGAGACTTTTTCTTTTTGTGAAAGTATATATTCAATGATTTCAGATTTACATTTATCATAAGCAGGGTCTTTTCTGATTATTGATAGATTCTCTGAAATATGGTAGTTTGTTAAATATTCAAAGTCACCATAATTACAGTTGCACTGAGGATTCTGATTGTCTGTAATATTATTCTTTGTATCTTTGACTTTTGTAGTCAAAGTTTCTTCTTTATCACTCTCTAATTCATTTGTATAGACCTTACATGCTGTTATTAACTTTGCTTCCTCCCGTACACTTTTTAAGTAATTCATGGCTTCTTGGTATTCAGGGTCTTCAGTAACTTCATCCACAGGTAAAGCCAACTTTTGGGCTATATCTAAGTCATTTAATGATTGTTTCTGTCTTCTTTTGCCCATTTTAAATGATTTATTATGAAATACAGTAATTATACTTTTAAAAGTACTTAATTTTCGGTAAATTCTTGCGAAATTAAGTAAATAAAGGTATTAAACACTTTTTAGAGAAAATTACGTGTATTTTACAACCATTTATGAAAATATATATTTTATTTTACCATTAAAGAAAATGAACTTGAAAAGCTTTGCTCTACCTACCTTTCCTTTCTAGGTTCCTCCAATTCAGGCTCTTCGTCAGAAAAACGTACTGTATCACTTAAAGAACTATTCTCCAGTTCATTATCTGATTTTTCGTCTTTATTATTAATTACTTTTTTTTCTGAACTTGGCGCCATATTTTGCATTTCAATAGTAGCCATATCATCATGTAATAAATATGAATCTGCGAGGTCACCAAAGAAAATAAGGCAACAGAATACTGTGAGCCCAGCCACAATCAGGAATGCAATGACTGTGACAGCAATTGCATGAATCCATGATTTATAAAAGATATCGCTGATAATTACATTAAGGTCATAAAAAAACCTCCTAATAGTATTTAGATTAAATATAGAGTATGCTTTTAGCTTAGGAACTTTTGAATCTTGATTGGAAATTAATTTTATAGTTTCAAATAAAACAGGGATTTTCATCATATCTGGACGGTTGTAATAATACTTCAGTCCATCAGAAACCACAATTTCATATCCTTGTATAAAGTTGAAGTTAGTGATTCCAAATTCTCTAAAAAGTGATGAGTAAGATACAAAATCAACGATTGCAAACAAAATTCCTCTAGGAGTTTCTGATTCTGAAAACTTTATAGGTAGGAACATTTCTCTTCTAACCTTTTCAGCAACTTTACCGAAATCAGTAATAAAATCACCACTAATTTCATGATTAATTTGAACATTTTCTTTGATTCCCATAATAACTACAAGATTTCCACTATTAAGGTATTCAATGAATTCCATTCTAGATGGTGCATTTAAGAATGGAAATCTGTATTGTTGCATAAAGTTGAGAGTAAATTCAGTTTCTTTAACTAATAGTATTGATGGTGAGAAGTTATCTTTTCCAATCATAGTAATACATGGGGATGTTAAGCACAAGTCAGTGTTACTAAATTTGTGATCTTTTGTATTTTCTAGAACACGGCTTTTAACACTTTTTGCATAAGTTACTGCTATTGTTACTTCAAAATCATTCTTTTTAACAATTTCTTCAAGAAATTCTAAATTTTGGTTAATTTCAGTCTCTGAATTAAAC